ACCATCCAGCGAAAGTACAGGTACAAACGGGAAGCTGTAATCGAATCCGATGAGTTCCTGGGGCAATATTACCGACAACAGCTGCAATAGGTAACATGTTAGATAGGGTGAATGTTGAGTGACGCAGAGTGTATTGTAGTATACATCGCATGCATATATTAACAATATCAATTTCGATGTTGTTTCATTCTATGACTCAAACATGGCATTTTATGAGGAAACATACGACAAGCACCTTTATATTATAGTTTAAATCTTAGGTAATAAACTTAAAATTCATTACTTGTTTTGGCACGAAGCCTTTTTTCCTTCTCTTTGGTATGATGCGATGTCCAAATGGCGCCCAATAAAGAAAATCAAACTATAGGAATCTTCAGTCAAGGAGTCTGCGAAATGGTCAGAAAACAGCAGGGCTGGAACATGTAAACATGCAGAACGGCATGTTACCGGACACGGTATCCTGCGGTTGTGGTAATAACAAGGTGCTCAGACGGAAACCGAATGTTTACCATAGATAATCAGGCGATGTAGCACGCCCCAGACGTCCAAACGTATACGGTAAACGGCTTACGGTCTATTAAGTTACATGTCAAACATGCCATGGAGGATGTATTTATACTGGTCAAGACAGATGGCTTATCACCATCATAAGATACACATTTAATATCCAATACATACCTCAAAACGGGATATATTTTATCATTTTTTTTTAATTTTTTTTTTTGTTTTGTTTATCAGGCACTTAACTTTTATATTCAAGTTATTTTAACCATTTTGTTGGGCAAAAATATTGATCTTTAGATTCCTCGCATTTTTTTTTTTTTAATTTCAAACTTAAAGATTCACTTATAAGTTGTGTTTGCCGTTTTCGTTTGTATTGGATTTTACGTTCATGTTTAAGTTATGTTGATGTTTGTCCATTTGTTTTTATCACAAACCAACACACCAAACGTTTTGCTAAAGTTGTAATTAATGAACAAATCAATAGGTCTATTTTTCGCTACCGGAAAGTGGATTAGGAATGTACGCAGCTCCCAAAACCTTACACTGACCAAAACAGGTTGATTTAGAAACAAATCCCTCGTATTAATGTATTTCTTAGAACGAGACGACCGCTTGAAGCGTGTTTACTAAAAGGTAGAGTACACATCAGCACGTTTTGCGATGTCGCTGACGGTGTTCGCTGACAGTGTTTTCGGCTTCGCGAAGCCTGTGTATCGCTTTAGAGTTACATTTCCCCGATATCCCCAGTTCACACTAATCCGTGACTCGGTAACAAACGTACAACAGATCGTTGGTAGGACGACACAGCTCAGGAAATTACACCTAACGATTTGCACAAAGTCCAGGGTCATAATTGGGAAAAGGAATAAAAACGAATTAAGTAGGAATTAGCAAGGATTACATGTGGGCATAGAAAACTACTTATTTTGGGGTCGTGTGTGATGAGCGTACTATCAAAGTCTTACGGGCAATTTCACAAGAATATATGGAGCAGATTTTGTGTACATCAAAGCTACATTGTACATGTTGGCTTTTCAGACCTTTTTATTGTTTGATATACATGTCTGGGTCGCTATCTAATGAAACTTGCACACACGTATAAAACATATCGAGCCTATTCCTGGCGTGCGGTTTTTGGTGCCAGTTTAAATCGAAGTCTTACTAGTGTAACTTCCTGGTCTGTGATCATGTATTACGGCTAATCTACAAATCCCAGGAACCCAGCTTTCACCTCATATTTCTGGTAATATAGGAGATTGATGGTGAGGCAATTTATTGCTCTTTGGCTGAAGGGATCAAGCCGTAATCTGGTTTACGCTACATCTCCAAATGCTGCTGTCGACAGCATGTACAGTAGAAACGTATTGACCTTTTTTTATATCAACGTTCTATGCTTACGTCGTATCCATTATAATGGCAGGCCGGGATATACTAAGTTGACATAAGTTCACACAGTCCTGTAACACCCAACACAAAACAATATTTGAATAAATCAATTTTATTCTGTATGAAAACATCTTAATTGTCGTCCTTGCTTGTCCAAATGTCAGGACCTTGAACGGATTTTATCTCAATAAGCCCCGAAACTGAGTATGCATTCCAATACTTTGTTATTGGTATATAATCCATGGGTAAGTGATCCATTGATCTGCCTGAAAAATAGGTCTCAGAGTCATTGTTTTTCAATGTTTAACTGGTGCTATTATAGTGGGATTTTGACGCAAGGGTTATACGTTTTCGATTTGGGTTAATATAGCGCTTTAGTGTATACGTGGCGGCTTACATGATTGGACAAACGAAAACATTAATATATATGCGATGTAACAGATTTCTACTGTTTATTCCGTTGTACACATTGACATATATATGTAGGCACACATTTGACAACGTTTATGGACATTTTTAAGATCTTATCAACTCAAAATCGTCATCAGATATTGTAAAACCAAAAGCTAACTTCTTTTTCATAGTTATTAATTGTTACGAAATCGATATATTTATATATAGAAAATAAACTCGGATAATCACATTATATGGATCGGGGAATGATGGTGTAAGTGATACGACAAATATATTTTGATCACATGACACAGATTCTCAAAAGGCGACACAGATTTTCAGCAGAAAATGATAGAAGTGGTTTTCCGTTACCATACCTTGCATTTTTATGTGGGGTTGTGTATGTTGTCACGTATTCATTGAAAGACATGTCATACACTTGTATGCCATACGCATAATCAATATACCGTAATTCCTAATCTAAATTCAACATATCTTCTTAAACAATTTGAATCGTTAGCTGTCCTAATAACGATCAAGATCCCGACATGTTATGGTGTAGCATATTGTTGGTATCCTCACAGAATAGAATGAAATATAAATAGAATTGGTTGACGTTCTATGGTTAAGTACAATGTCAGGGTTTGGGTTAAAAGAACAACTACAAGTGTACATATAGGTCCGGGTATCGTGCATCAATATCCACTGGGACCAGGTAAAGTATATCGTTTGTACGCATACCAACTAGAACCGGTACTGCGTACTCAACGTTAAGGTTAGCACGCTACTGAGATATTCACATAGACTGTCGTTGGTAGTTAGTCGGGTCTACAGTACATATTTAATAGAAACCAACATATATTTATCTTAGAAGTAAGTCAGACCGTTCGCTATGATACGGCTACTTGTAAAGTATATTTTGACCAGTCAAGTCAAATAGTAGCCCTTAATGGAAAATGTCCAAAGCTTAACAAGACGTACTTTTTGTCACAGTGTATTCGGATAAGTATACATGGGACGGAAACACTAATGGTAAAGGCCTAATGCCTTCTCGCTTTCCTAACAAACCAGTAATGGAATTCATACATCTTTCTTAGAAGCAGACTGCGGGAAAAATCGGAATCCATAAAAGTGAAACTTCACATGATTGAAGGGTATACAATTCCAACTGAGTGTTTGTGTATTCAAAGATTACATTTATATGAAAGAAAAAGCTTCGAACACGAATGTAAGCCCAGCTAAAACAAAAGTGTTTCATATAATCAGAACACGTTGACTATGTCTTCATGACAAGATAGAGTCACAAATGGTTTGGAGATACAAGAAGAAATTATGGCTCATGGAACTCGAGACAGATAATGCTTGTTGAAAACATATTTACCGCCACGGATTAGCAATGCCCAGACGCCGCATCGAAATTTGTTGTTTTACCAGGAAAAATACTTGATGGGCGTTTCATAAGGTCACTGTCTCTATGTATGGGCATAATGATAAGATAATTCGATAAAAAAACGTTATTAGGATACACTAAGATAAAACGTATTGAAACAAAATAAACCGCGATCTGCGCTAACACAATCCTTCAATTAGGGATATTCATAAATGTATATGTTGGTTGCGCATTTATTTCATTTTCAATTAATGAATAAAGACTATACTTTGGAAACAAATTGTGTTTTCTATTTCAGTCTCATTAATATTAACGATTTTGCTGTCACTAAACAGCGTGCATATTCTTCCTTACTGTGTAAACGGCGTAGAGCCTAAACTAGCCAGCGCAGCAGGCCAGAGTGTTGCTTATTAACAAAAGTGTTCAATAACTGACTACACTGTAATATACAGAGTAAGGAATGAATTATGCTAATAGTTTAGAATATATTGAATTAAGATACCTTGAAGATAAAAAGCATATGTTTGGTTATTTTAAATCGTTATCTCGATTTCCTGGGTTTGGTTGAAGACTTCATGAAAGGTGCCACATGCAGGGTTAGAAGCGCTTACTTCGATTTTAAGGAGTTTATGATTTCTTGTTTGTTTGTTTGTTGTGGGGTTGCTTACGTTTTAGACCAAGGGCACCATATTATACAATTATGGACTTTTGTGCTGGTGAATATGATGTGATATGACCCTGAAAGAGTGATATTGACTGAGGCAAAGCCGAGGTCAATATCACTCTTTCAGGTTCATATCACATCATATTTAACAGCACAAAAGCCCATAACTGTTTTATTATATGCCTCAACAATAAAATAAAACAAAACTAAAGGTTTTGATTTTTGTATGCAAGCCTCTGTGTAATATTTAGCCAGGTTTGAATCAACAGTTCAGCATCGTAGCTTTCGAAGACATCGTCTAGGTTCTTTTTCCTTGAGATAAGCATGGAGGACATGCACTGCGTGTTCAATGGCCTTTTTATGTTAACAGCATCTTTATCCTTGAACAGTTTTTGAAATTTTCTGATGTAACGGAGGAGAAACGTTCGCCAGCAGCCATCTTCAATTGTCGTCTGAAAGATCGTGTTCCGGTCTAACTGCGCATGCGCTACAACAGGTTCCGGGGAATTTCCATATAGGTTATATTAAGAAATCGATATTCACCGGATAACCAGTCTACATGAGTTTTTGAGGACTGGTCACGTGTATCTGATCCGACCAATGTGATTGCGAGAAATTTTCATGCATATAATAACATGTCTTATATACGTGTTTGTATTTCAGACCGAGACGGCCGTGGTATATTCGACCCCAAAAATATACCTGAAAAGGACATGACGGAGGAACAGCGGTTGTTATATCGGATAATGAAATCGTACGATCGGTCATCTCGTCCAGTCTTCTCCGCCAAAACTCCAGTGGTCATCCGTCTGGGTATTACCCTAACTCAGGTGCTTGACGTGGTAGGTTATCAGTCTTATAGGTACTACCCTCTTATGACTATTTTACACCGGAACAGTAATACATAAATGAGTGGCATCCCTCTCCTACTTCGTCTGTTATCGTTGCCTCCCTTGACATCAATCATTAACCTATTAGATCACTGTGAACTTATATGTGACATTTTTTTTTATTATTGTGAGGTCCTGTAGGCAAATTAAATCACTGATGGGTATTACACACACAATCATTGTGTGGAACTGTGTGAAATATTATATTTATACCCCGTTAAATCAGTATGTAGTCCTTTATGACTCTTTAAATCATTGAGTTGCTGTGTGCCTCTTATATCATGATCCCTCTTTGATCCTTGATATCACTGTATGTTCCTGTGTGACACACTTATTCACTATTAGTTCCTCTACAATCCGGTATTTAGATCACGAATCCCTGTGTGGTCCATTATGGAATTTTGATGTTAACAACCCATTAATGGCTTGAGTCAATTGTCCAAACCAATACATTTACAAAATCTCTTTAACCAATTTAAACATGGACAGTTGTCTAATAAGTTTAACGTTAGTGTAAATGAAAGTGAATAGAGAATACGTATTGTAGAACTTTAATAACTCGACGTCCATGTTTCATGTGGAATATTGATGTCTTTATGCCAGTCTGAGGTTGTTGGACACAGTGTTTTGTATTCATTGACTTAAATAATAACTGATCTGTTTTTCTCGAGGAATACAAAATTTCGTTTTTTTATTCTTGACTTAATCCTATTTCTACATTTTAAAACATCCATATCCGTTGTATAATAGAAGCATTAGAAACCCTAGTTGTTCCGTACTGTAGTGTTCATGCTGATGCAATAGGATGCTTGATACATGCTTGTTCTTACTGTTTAGGATGAGAAGAATCAAATATTGACAACGAATGTCTGGCTGGACCAGGAATGGGTGGACGAGAAGCTACAATGGACAAATATTTCAGAATTTGCTCATATAAAGATATTTAGAATTCCCTGCGACCTGATATGGCTACCAGATATTGTGTTATATAACAGGTAAGTAAGTAAGATCATTATAACTTGTAAATGGTTGAAGTAAAAGGAGTATTAAAATATATATCGAAAAATATGTTCATGGTAAATATCTAGCATTGATTGGTCTTATTATATATTTAATATGTTAGGTAACTTAGTATTTGTTTTTCTAACAAAATATCAAATAAGCTATTAAGTACGTTTTACGTTGTATTTTGGACTCTCTTCTGAGCCACTACATATAGCTTGATCCGGGTCCAAAGCAACGAATGCGTCCCAAACACTTCGTTGACATTTATGCCAGATCAGTATTCTTGTAATTGAGTTCAAAATATATTGTATCCGTGTCATGTATGACAGCTATACAATATATGAACCACATGACCTTATCTAATGTCGTTTTCAAGGGTATTTAAGTAAGTTTATGTTTTCAGAAAAAAAACTTTATTATGAAGATACTTGAGATTGCAAGTGTGACATAATTTATCTGAAAACATATATAGTAAACATGTCAAAAAATAAAAAATAAATAATATTATAATACCACCCGTATCATGCAAAGATTTGAAGCTTATGCTATAAAACTGCGTTTTCATCCATACAGCATTAATTATAGGTTTACTTCCATTATTATGTTTGAAGAACTCTTCAACCGCGCAACAAGAGCCTGCTTCAAAAAAATACAAGAACACTGTTTATGGACGTACCGCACACTACACAATAACTTGAGGATATAACCAACGGGTTTTAAATTATGGACAGAGCAAGTACCAAATGCATTTATATCCCAGTATTCATCAAATTTATTAAGTTATGCTTTCGTATGCTTACGTCGATGCGACTTCATGTAACCTTGTTCTAATTAAAGACACTCTGATGGTAATATCAGAAATTGATCCAAATTATATCGGTCTTACACTGTTATTGGTCTTATCTAAAATCTACCATATATCGGCACGGTTACATCCAGTTCATACCAGAGCTAATAGGTCGTCCGAGATCGAATCCCCAGTCAGTAGACGTGTTTAGATGGTTGATCTCGTAAAGCTCCCACCTAAATCAATTGGCAACTTAAAGGCACTTCAGGTCATCGTGATGAATTGTCTACAGTATTAAATATAATCACGTTAGCAGTGTTACCAATAGCCTTATTGTGGAATTAGTTGTCTGAAGCAATTCCCTGGATATGAGATGGAAAATGACACTCGTGGTACTTAATGTACAAATTAGAACTGTCAGTGTTTATTTATCTAACGCTATATTCATTCCAATGTCTAGTGGAACAAGGTTGATTTCTTTTTCATTCTAGTGTTTCGTAAACTGATCCACGCCAAAATTATAATCCCACATAGTACACTATCTATTTGATTCAGACTACATTATTCATTTAAATTTTGATAAGGGTTTCAAATAGAGTTTATTTAATAAAACATGTCAAACATTATTTATATATGGTACTTTAAAAAAGCACGAACGTCATTTGTGGTTCGATAAAGCCATCCCGCCAGGAAGTCCCGGGGGACGGGACTGATAGAAAATGGTCACTGCCGATAAATAAATAGCCTACGCAGCCCAAAGTGTCTCATTCTACCATATGCTAAATGGGTTTAAGTTCATAATGTATCCCTCTGCAGTAATAAAAGAAAGATCGGGAACAACTTTGAAAAACATGATATACAAACTTGGTCAGATCACGCAAAACTGCACTCAAAACATCACGTACTGACGCTGACAAAACGTTGGTAGTGGTAGGTAAATACGACAGCCCACCAGTGACTCCCTCCGGTATGTTGTCTAGTTACATAGTGAATGTGTGGTTCATAACAAATGATTTACTTGACGTCTTTATTTAGACTTTGTGTCTCGTTTTCGTTAAAATCAATCTTAAGTAAAATGTATTTTGATTCCCAAATCCCTTTTTCAGAAACCGTTGGTGCCATATGACTCTTACTCTTTGCCCTTATAGGATTGAAACAAAAATTAATGCCATCTACTGCACCACTGATTAGCACTAAAACTAATGTAAAATAAGTTAATGGGTTATCTTTATTATCATCACATACGGTCTATTAAAACTCATTGCAACTAAACACATACATGTAATTTATGAATCTAATATGAGTCGTTGCCGATCCAATATTTTACCGGAACAGTTTGGTAAATCGAGTATTTTTTTTTAACAATCTTTATTTTTTTGGAAAAATCAGTGAATTTGTTTTTTTTCACAAATGCTATTAAACATTAACACTTATTATCTCACAAGTTTTTTGTTGCCTTTAATAGAAAATTGAAATGTGTATTATCAAAAAAGACACTATCTCTCTCGTTTGAACCACCATCAATAGCAAGAGGGATGTGTATAGTCAACTTCCATGGTTTTTTTTCGAGATAACTATATACCAATTCATGTTAATACAGAATTTGTATAATTTGAAACCGATTTATTCTGATGCTAGTAGGTTCGACACCAAGTTCAATTCAATGTTAATGCCTTACCATGGATTGTCAGGGGAAACGAGAAGTATGACTATATGTAAAATAGACATGTTCTGGATTGGATAATTCCTGTACCATAAGATAATGATGATACAACTGACATATCGTTATAGTCTCCAGAGTACCGCGTTACAGTCTGGTACAGAGCTCACCGTTCGTTATGTGATTCGATCGAAGTCTGGAAGAACAGATGTATCAGAGCTATCACTAAGACATATAACTCTCAGAGCGTACATTGTATGATAACTGCCATTAACGCACACAGCAACTACTTAGAAACGACAGTGTTCCAGCTATTCCGTCTTTGCGTATTGCAGAGTTATCTGCTCTTGTGAGCAGGTATTGATTGTTACGCCATTTGTTTGTGAGAGTAACGTCATCAATTTTTGAGAAAACGACGTAATGTTCTCACACAAACCAATGACGTAACAATCAATACCTGCTCACAGGAGAAGATAACTCTGCAATACGCAAAGACGGAATATATACAGCAACGACAATGTCTCGGTCATGTGCATCCACTGTATCTCAACATCATTGACGTAAACATTATCCTCACTATCAAAGACATCAACAATGTTCCCAGATTGTACTTGTACGATACTAAAGACGATTTTCAACTTTCAATCGCGCTGTAATAATTTTCAGACAAATAACTACGCCATTATCCAAACAATCAATTACAAATACAATGATTTCATACACACTATTCATAACAAGGACGAATCGATTACATACATAATTACAATGACCAGGAAGATGACAGCATATGCACAATATTTTTTTCTGTTTATTATAACACCGTTTATGTCCCCAATATCAATGACAAAGACAATGATTCCATAGACATTTGTACAAGTAACAATGAAACGATACCATACACAATAACAGCGACGATATCACACTTATCAAGGGCACAACAATGATTGGATGAGAAATACGATGACGATGTCCCAAATTTCAATGACAACGTCAACGTTTCCTTACAAACATGTTACAGAAACGACGAAACGATACCATACACAATTACAATGAAGATGCCCAAAAATGACAATGATTTCAATTGTAATTAATTACAATGACGATGCTACAGGTATCAAAAGAAAAAAGAACATGATTCCATAGAAAATACCACAACGATATCCCAACAATAAACGACATCGACATAGACAATGATTCCATAGTTACTTGCACATGAAAAAGCTACGTAGAATCGACAGAAAAAATAATTACAACGACAATATTATTTCCTGTATCAGTACAACCAGGATGACGGGTTGCAACATAACAGCGATACAATAGGTCTACACGTAATAACAACGAACAATGACCATTCAGGCAATTACAAAGAGAATACATGTAACTATGCAAACACACAACACAAAATGGTCAATAAAGAAGATTGCTCATTGTTTTTACGCAATGAAAGAAGATGATTCGATATATTTAGGCACCCAAAATGGCTCTTTTATATATTCAATCACTCAAAAATAAGTTCATTCGTTTATTTTATACATTTTAAATGGTATTTTGTACTGACATGACATCAAATTTAAACGTGCAATTGAATGTATCTCCAATTTCAAGGCATGTAGATAAATTGAATAGCCTAGTTTATATTATAGGTTGGGGTATTAAATAATTGAATTGTTAAGATTACATTCACTGAGAAATTATTCCTTGTCATATTGAGTGCGATAAGTTAATGTTCCACTTAATATGATGCTTGGTATTTTATTTATTACTTACTGTATGTGTCGATCTCTCTACTGAATATGAGATCTGCGGCGAAAGCTGTCTGCGTTTAATCACAATGTACCGACGCAAATCTCAAAAAAAACAGCATAGGCTTATCCTTATATACTATTATAAGCTAAATCAACCAAAATATCGCTGACTCAAAGTTACCCTTCTTTGCTGAACTCTAGTCTATTCTTGGTATATTAGTGACGTCATTAACATTTAAAACTGAGGCAAAATTACTTTGACCTTCAGGAGTCATGCTATTGTGTTCGTAACAGTAAAATTAATCAATTTCATGACGTGTGGAAAACTGTAGGGGTCATTGACCTCATTAGTAGTTACCATTCGGAGTTCATTTGCAAATATGAAATTCTTTAGAAGGTACAACATCGAGTTATACAGTTGCAAATTATTTCGTTTTACCAATCAAAAGCAATGATACATTTAAAATGAATTATAATTTTTGATCTTTAATTTTTGCATGCATTTGCCTTTATCCTTCGGGCTAATTTCTTGTTTTCTCAATATCTTAACCATAACGCTAAGCACTCGCGAATTTATTGCCTCACGTATAAAAATAAGAAAAAAAGAAATGCGCGCAATGGTTTCTGTGTCGCGTTATTGAAGGTAGGAAAACCGCACTTGTAACTTTTTTTTTTTTTTATGTAGCTATTGTTCTGTATATTGAAGATAAAACATTAATTATGTACACACCAGACTATTTGTATTATTCTCCTACCGCTTGAGTACAGTAGAAGCTTGATAACCCATTCGTTTTATAGCAATTCCCTGCAAAAGAGACGATTGCCGTGCTGTGACAATTTTGTATGTAAAAAAGGCCAATATGTCTCCAAAATAACAGGCATAGTAGTGAGTTAACTGTATTAGTGGTGGCTGGATCAACGTAGCTAAATCCTATGCAAGCTCAATATTTGCAAACAGTCACTTTGATTTTGTCTACTGCAACCATGTAACTCTGTAATTTTCACCGATACCGCTATATTAGCTTCCCTCCTCTTTATTACCACAACGTATTGTACAGTCGAGTCTCGCTAATCTGTCTGATCTGGATAAAAGAGGGAGGTGTAGTGGCTCATCTGTAAATGGATTGGAATTAGGAGAGGAGAGGGGGGGGGGGGGGATGGGGTAGACGACGCTTAACTATAAATGGATTGGAGATATATGCTTCATTGTAAATGGGTGGGAGAGGAGGGAGGTTAGTGGCTCAACTATAAATGGATTGGAGGTATAGAGTCCACTGTGAAGGGGTGAGAGGTCAAGGCACCGTTGTTAATTAGCGGGGGGTAGAGGCTCCATTGTAAATTATTGGAGGTAGAGGCTCCATTGTAAATTATGGGAGGTAGAGGCTACACTGTAAATGGAGGGGAGGGAAGGGAGGTTAGAGGCTCCACTATAAAGGAATTTGAGGTATAGGGTCCACTGTGACCGTTGTTAATTAGCGGGAGGTAAAGGTTGCTCCACTGTGAATGGGCAGGAGGTAGACGCTCCACTGTTAATTATGGGAGGTAGAGGCTCCATTGTTAAGTACATGTATGGGAGATAGAGGCTCCGCTGTAAATGGGTGGGAGAGGAGGGAGGTTAGAGGATCCACTATAAATGGATTGGAGGAATAGGGTCCACTGTGAAGGGGTGAGAGGTAAAGGCACCGTTGTTAATTAGCGGGAGGTAGAGGTTGCTCCACTGTGAATGGGCGGGAGGTAGACGCTCCATTGTAAATTGATGGGAGGTAGACGTTCCACTGTAAATTGATGGGAGGTAGACGCTTCACTGTAAATTGATGGGAGGTAGACGCTCCACTGTAAATTGATGGGAGGTAGACGCTCCACTTTAAATTGATGGGAGGTAGACGCTCCACTTTAAATTGATGGGAAGTAGACGCTCCACTGTAAATTGATGGGAGGTAGACGCTCCACTGTAAATTATGGGAGGTAGACGCTTCACTATAAATTGATGGGAGGTAGACGCTTCACTGTAAATTGATGGAAGGTAGACGCTCCACTTTAAATTGATGGGAGGTAGACGCTTCACTTTAAATTGATGGGAGGTAGACGATCCACTGTAAATTGATGGGAGGTAGACGCTCCACTTTAAATTGATGGGAGGTAGACGCTCCACTGTAAATTGATGGGAGGTAGACGCTCCACTGTAAATTGATGGGAGGTAGACGCTCCACTGTAAATTGATGGGAGGTAGACGCTCCACTTTAAATTGATGGGAGGTAGACGCTCCACTTTAAATTGATGGGAGGTAGACGCTCCACTGTAAATTGATGGGAGGTAGACGCTCCACTTTAAATTGATGGGAGGTAGACGCTCCACTGTAAATTGATGGGAGGTAGACGCTCCACTTTAAATTGATGGGAGGTAGACGCTCCACTTTAAATTGATGGGAGGTAGACGCTCCACTTTAAATTGATGGGAGGTAGACGCTCCACTTTAAATTGATGGGAGGTAGACGCTCCACTGTAAATTGATGGGAGGTAGACGCTCCACTTTAAATTGATGGGAGGTAGACGCTCCACTTTAAATTGATGGGAGGTCGACGCTTCACTATAAATTGATGGGAGGTAGACGCTTCACTGTAAATTGATGGGAGGTAGACGCTCCACTTTAAATTGATGGGAGGTAGACGCTTCACTTTAAATTGATGGGAGGTAGACGCTCCACTTTAAATTGATGGGAGGTAGACGCTCCACTTTAAAGTGATGGGAGGTAGACGTTCCACTGTAAATTGATGGGAGGGCGACGCTTCACTGTAAATTGATGGGAGAAAGGCGCTCCACTGTAAATTATGGGAGGTAGACGCTTCACTGTAAATTGCTGGGAGGTAGACTCTTCACTGTAAATTGATGGGAGGTAGTGGCTCAACTGTAAACGGATGACTGAGATGATCCACTTTAAATGAGTTGGATGTAGAGGCTCCACTGAGAATGGATGGGAGGTGGAGGCTAAACTGTGAAAGGATGGGACGTAAAAGCTTCACTTCAAATGGGTGAGATGTAGAGGCTTCACTGTAAACGGAGGGGAGCTTCACTTTATATGAGGGGAAGTCTTATTGGTGGTAGAGGCTCCACTCGTTATGGGTGCGAAAAAGAAGTCTCTACTGTATATTGGTTATAAGTAGAGGCTCCATTGTATAGAAGTAAGATATATGAGGCTCCTATTTATATTGCTGGGAAAGATGGAGGATCAAATGTATACTGATTAAAGACAAAGACTGCGTGGAAGATAGAAAATAATCTGTGTAGTTACATGTAGTATAAGGGATCAACTACTGATCGGTTGGAGAAGCAGTTTAAAATTGAAATAATCTTTATTCTTGTTTCCACTGGATATATTTCAAAACATAATAATGTTCGTCGAGATACGATGAAATTGCCATGATATATTGTATTACGGGCGTGTTTAACGAGTATTGTTCTGGTATTCTTTAATGAAGAATTATGATAGTTTTTGTTAAAAATAACGAATCAAGTTTGAAAAAGTCTCCAACAGGATACACACATTATTTAAATTTAATGTTATGGTGATAACGGTTTTAATAATTTCCTATTTTGCAGCGTCGACAACCATAACAAAGGATATATGAAAAGCCTGGCTATGGTCGAACAAACCGGAAACGTGTTTTGGCCACCTATTGTTCGCATGCGTAGTTCATGCAAAATGGATATCACTTATTTTCCTTTTGACGATCAAGTGTGTATACTAAAAATGGGATCCTGGGCATACGACGGATTTCAAGTGGACGTCACAAATAGAACCATGGAGGTCGATACTTCAAATTATGTAGATAATGGGGAATGGACACTCATTGATACAAAAGTAGTCCGCAATGTAAAATATTACCCATGCTGCCCCGAGCCATTTCCGGATGTAACATTTTATATTCATTTGAGACGTCGAGTGTTATACTATGCCTTTAACGTCATCATCCCGTGTATGTTGTTGTCAAGCCTCACTCTGACAGGATTTCTACTTCCGCCGGACTCGGGGGAAAAGGTGACTTTGGGATTAACGGTGCTGCTGGCCTTCTCCGTCTTCATGTTACTAATTGCTGAGAATATGCCTCCGACGTCGGAATACATACCCCTCATTGGTAAGTTGTGTAGGTATCAGTGTCTTTTTAATGAGTATCTAATTTCCTTGTGTAACCAGGAACGTTCATATTGTCAAATATATGTCATGCTCTATATTACCGCAGACGATCGGTTTCCAAAACTAAAATATTTTTTCTGTATATGGATGCAACAGTGCTTCTATCAAGATAAAGAATACAAAAATCTGGACACAGCCTTGGTTGTTCTATATGGTATCATTATTGAATAATTACTGCACAGGAATATGTTACATCAAAAAACATATTTCAAATGGAAAATTAAATAAATAAATATGTTTAAAAATCAGTGTAAACAGATACATTGTCATTAAATATCGGTTGTTGGTACAGCCATAAGCACACAGGAAGTGGTGAGCCGGCTGAACAAACAATCGCATATTTATAGTAAAAATGTTTCTCTCTGATTTGAGTTTAGAGCTGGGGCTTTGTGTACAATTTACCTTAACAAACATCCTACTATTTACAAAGGGTGGGTGTGATTGATTTTATTCGTTCAATTTTCAACAAACAAAGAAACATGTATTACAGCTCTATCCTAAAAATCGATGAAATGAACTACATACCGGGGATTTAAAAAAAAACTTCTGTCATTAGCAATGACATATGGTCATGAACTCGCGACATTAAACAATAGTGAGACAATGTCGGGTTAAAGGGAAATCAACCGCCAAGCATAAAAAACTAATAGCATTGATCAATGAAAAAAACATGTTTCCAATATGTATCAGGTGACATTGCGTCACACACACATCAATTCTATAAGTACGTATTCCTGTGTGGATATATTTCCTTTGTGTGGTTGTTTAATTATTACAAGGGCGTGTTTTGTGTGTTTCCATTATATAGTAGAAATATGCGACTATATGGTCATGTTTCGTTTGCTTCCATTATGCATTAGGTACATTTGCTCATGAGGACACCTTTTTTGTGTTTCCTAGTGTTTCCATTGTGGTAAATATTCTCATAATTAGGACATGTTTCGTGCTTCCATTATGAAGCCATTATACGTGGTTATGGGGACTTGATTCGTATTTCAATTATAATACAGGTAAATATAGTTATTAGGAGATTTTTAGCACGACTATTTGATAAAGGGACATCTTTTGGGAATTTTCATTATGTACTACATGTAGGTATACTTGATATTGCTGGCAAGTGTTGTTTTTCTGTTATACACAATTTGTTATCTCATGTTAACAATGTTAAATACATGTACTTTAAATATACTAATATAGTATATATAACATATGTAATATGCCCTCAAATCACTAGGTCGTGGACTCGAGGCCTACGTGAGACAGTCGCTAGGTTCTGGCCGCAGGTCGTCTACTTTTCTCCAAGCACTCCGTGTTTTCTCCACCACCAAAACCTTGCATGACCTTTAATGATTATAGCTATATTGAGACCCAAAACACAAACATTTTTTAAGGATTTAATAATTGTGTGAACTTAAACATTTGTGAAACAACATTGGAATGGACTGTTTATTGGACAACTTCATAGTACGTTCAGGTTAAAAAAAAGTTATTATTTAATTTCTTTTTCTCTTCAGTTATATATATTTATGTTTTGGTTTGAGTAATTGTGTCAACGCTACTTGATTTAACAATATGTCTTAATTGTCTTTTAATTTATATACATTGTAAGGCCAATTATAGCAAAGGCTTGGATAAGTATTGATTTTGCATTCGTAACACTGCCCTATTCAATAATGCATGACACTTCTGACAATCTATCGTTAATGACAAAAGTCCCACTATGTAAAACCCCTTTGTTATTATGAATTTCAAAATTTTCTGTTACTTCGCATATTTTAAAGCAATTAAAGTAGTCTATTCTCACATTTCCAAGAGAAGTAATATCAGTGTAATCAAATGAATGTCTGTTTTTTTAATGGAATTTGTACGTTAATTTTCAAAGTATTTTGACTGTTCATAAAATGACAAAAGTAATGTTCGATTATTAAGCCTTTTGTCGCATTAAGAATAAAATGAATCGTGTTTCTGTATTAAACAGAATGTGGTTCAATCAAGCTAAGTTATTCATTTTAATTAGTCTTCAGACAGAATGTTTCCGTTTATAATTGAGCTGGTACAAAAGTCGGCAATGCCAGTATCCAGATTAGACCGATCCTTGATATATAGATGGATCTAACATGAAGGAGAGACTATGTCTTCTGTGGCATAACCATCGTGATACCTACTTAAAAAAATAGCGGACTAAGCACCTTCGCATTTTGTCATAGATCTTATTTTATTACCTTCACATTTTGTCTTAGATCAAAACACCTTCACATTTTGTCATAGATCTAAACACCTTCCGTTGGTCTTACATCTTATTACCTTCACATTTTGTCTTAGATCTAATGACCTTCACATTATGTCTTAGATCTAATGACCTTCACATTTTGTCTTAGATCTAAACACCTTCACAGTTTGTCTTAGATCTAATGACCTTCACATTTTGTCTTATATCTAATTACCTTCACATTTTGTCTTAGATCTAATGATCTTCATATTTTGTCTTAGATCTAATGACCTTCACATTTTGTCTTAGATCTAATGAACTTCACATTTTGTCTTAGATCTAATGACCTTCGCCTTTTGTCATTATTCTAAACACCTTAATATTTGGTCTTACATCTAATAACCTTCACGTTTCGACTTAGATCTAATGACCTTCACATTTTGTCTTAGATCTAAACACCTTCACATTTTGTGATATATTTAAACACTTTCACATTTGCTCTTAGATCTAAACACCTTTGCATTTGATCTTAGATCAAATATATCTACATTTATACACAATGTACATAGCTGAATATATTTTTTCTTACATCTATGACATATCCAGATGATTTGTGTTAGATCTATAATGTGGTATATACATATCCAGATATATTGTCCTTTTAACAAGTCTATTTCCCCCAAAACATACATTTTCTACTTCAAAACAACACCCGATAGACAGGAAAATCACCGCGGCAATGTTTAATTTCCAACTACGTTATCGCCAATCCTATGTCCGCCGGTAAAGCGTCTGCATTTGACAGTCTTCGGTAACCGACGATAAATTATCAAAGCTCACACAATGACACCTCTGCTCATACAATCACACTTCCACTTATACAATTTCATCTTCGCTGATGTAATTACTCTTTTCTCATTCGATTACATGGAGTGAACTATTTACAGTTTAGAAAGTATTTGTACACAAAATCCATAAATTCTGTTGGTGAGATTAGAATTTTCAATATTTTGTATAGGTGTTTCTAGCCATATCCACATTGCTATCTCAACTTACATGTATATGTATATGGTATGGTTTGTTTGTGTTTCACGTCCTACTAACATTTATGGTCATTCAAGGACGAGCCAGATGCTAGTGGTGGAGTAAAACCGGAGTACCCAGAGAAAAAACCACCAACCTGCGGCCGGTACCTGGCGACTTCCCTAAGTGGGCCCCGAACCCGCGACCCATTTGTGATAGGCTAATGATAGTTAACAGTCAGACGACTTAGCCATTCGGTTTACGCAGCCCCTTTATCTTCATATTTTTATCTCTTACCACATATGTCAAACATATGGTAAACAAACATTATGACAATTATAAATTACTATAAATTAAGTGTAATTACCGTTCAACACAGTATAATATATATATTTCGTATCGACCACCTTATTAATCCGTTTAATATAAATGCAAGTTGGTATCTATGACACAATAAGGTAAATATATTCAAAAGAAAATACCTGTTGGATGTAATCCATTTTAGCATATTTAGAAAAGTTCCCGGTAGATAAACTGATGATTGAGATTTCGAGTACCGTAACAGTGTACAAAAGTAAATGTATAAGGGGATAATCTCGTAACTGTTTGTCCTTGAGTGAGCGACGTTCACATCTGCCAGAATTTTTTGCACTGAAAAGTAATATCTGAGCGTTGATATAACAAATAAAAAAAAAAAAACAGTTGGATGGTTACTCCGGAACGGACAAATATAAAATAAGTATACTTCCTGTTTTCCGAAGGGTGTCTTCGTGAGAGATACAATATTATGTAACAAAATCAGAACTCAACGTTGATACAAAAACAAGAATTTGGAAAATATCAAATGGAAAGGAAAGAAATTATGGATCAGCCGAACTGACTCGGAACACGTGTCCATACGTCGTTCTTACCTCAAATTGTGTTCTCTAGCAAACTGCATATATTGCTAGAAATCTTATCACAGATTCAAAAGATACACACTCATCATATGCATCGCTGCATAGCTGTAAGTTCCAATTAGGTAAATAAAAGGAATAATTTGCTGGATCATGAGAATAATGTTCTAAAAATGCAGAACCAGGTGTTCCAAAAGGGCAAGCTTTTCTTGCACCACGTGTGGCCCCTGTCACGGTGCATCCCTTCAAGTCCTTGCAAGTATGTTGTCGGCCAATAGCATAAGACATGCTGAAAAGCTATTTAAACACGGTTGCTATTATTTCTTAGGTGGACATCAGGTTGTACTGACAACTATTTCTTCAGGGTGCAAACAAAGCATCTTTGATAGAAAACTCGGATATCTTACTTGTTTAATAGTCAACAACATGCTTATAAACGGTATCGCCTAACAGAATTTATGAATGGAAACATTTATGTAATGTAAACTAAATTTGGCAATTTTTGTGTTTTACATCATAACAATTTGGATTCATTAAAACGGATTTGGCAACGAAATTTCAAGTCACCAAATCGATATACATATTGCATGTATGCACATATACCCACACAATCATCGATAACGAGATGGGGACCTACCAAGCTTGATTACAGCTTCAATATATTTAACTATGCTCATACCAGTGCCTTGTGGTGTTGTTATGACTTCCTAGGTTCTCGATGTGAGGACGTGGTTTTTACTTGGTTTCGACTGACATGGCGTGTGTAATTGATGGAGTATAGGACGCTTAATCTTCCGGAACATCTGGTCTTAT